GTTTATACTTGATACACAACAAGTCAGTGTTGCTGCCATGTCAAAGTCAATTATCAGATTATTTCTGTTTACAGACAAAGAACACCTTCAGAGAAAACAAAGCAAAAAAAGAGCAACAGGTTAATGTTTGTTGTTGGGAAAATTCTAATCTCACCAGTAGCCTGTCTGCTTTATGTCGACTAAACAGTAATTTGCTTAAACTGTAAAAAAGAAAAAACACAGGAGTCAGATGTTTCCACATTTCTGTCACTGGTTTTTCTATCAGAGTGACCCATCTCAGGGAGGTTTCACACAGCCGGCACGCTAACGTCTACAGATTTAATGTTTACATCATCAACCAAAAACGAAGCAACTCGGGCAACCTGTTTTAAAAGTACGCACCACTGTCACTGAAACCCATCCCCTAAAGAGTCACAAAACACTCTCCCAAGGATTAAACTTTAAGAAAAAAAAACATTTCAATTCAACGAGAGGCTCTGATTAATCTCTGGCAGCGGGGAACCTGTCGCCGGCTCTCTCTCCACTCTGTAACTTTACCTCTCAGACTCAGTGGCCTTTCCTTTCCACTTGACTAACTCCCTGCAACAAGACTGCTTTAATGCCAGAAGCCCCCCTTCTGCCCCCCTGCCCCCCCAGTAATTCAACAACCGCTTTATTCAACAATGCCAGTGCCTTTATTTTCCTGTTTTTCCTCCGACAAGCTTGCCCTCAATACTCGCTCCGAATTATTTCTTTTGCTCCTCCCCGCCCAATATCACCACCCAAACCCCGACACATTTAATATATCTAATAATCTCAGCTAATTCCAAGAAGGACCACCTACCCGAAGGCCCAGACACTGACTCCCCTAGAACCAGTGCCCCGGGACGAGGGTCAAAGTGGGGGACAGCTGGCAGACCTCCCTGCAGACTGTAGGAGCGGCTGTGGGGTTGCAGGACTGCGCTGACCCCAGTCAGATGGTGGTCTGGCTCCCAGGTATAAAAAAAAACAAAAACATCTGGTCCAGTGATGGGGAGAGTGGTCACACACATGCTCGCACACTCAGAACTGACACACGCCTGACTGCATGAGTGCCCCTGCTTTCTCTAATGAATTCACACACACACATACACACACACTGAGATGGCTGCTTTATTAGTCATTAGGACAAAAAGGTTTGCCCTCCATCAGTCTCCTCAGGAGATACAAAAAAGCGGCCGCCCTAGTTGCTAACAGCTGCCCAGACGGATCTCACTGGTAGCTGAAACTCACCGGCGACACAGACGGGCCGAGGTCCAATTACTTCTTTACTGTTAGATTTACTGTGCGAGCCAGTGTGTGTGTGTGTGTGTGTGTGTGTGTGTGTGTGTGTGTGTGTGTGTGTGTGTGTGTGTGTGTGTGTGTGTGAGAGAGTGAGAGACAGAGACAGAGTGAGCAAGAGAGTGATTTATGCCTTTTGGAGACATAAGAATGAAGGAACACTTAGAAAAGAAGGATAGAAACTGGGGGAAATTATATCAAGGGAAATATTCAATGGAGAGAAGTGAGGCTGAAGAAAAATGTTGACATTTAAGAAAATAGTCCCAGAGCAGCAGCAAATTATTAAATTCTCCTTTCGGTGGAAAGTACCCAAACGGTCATTATCAAGCAGGAAAAAATGAAATATGGTCACTGCTGGCTGCGATATGTGGGTCTTCACCGTTCTCGAGATGAGATAAGGAGAGGGGAGAGACGGACAGCTGTTGTCTGCTGACAACCCACACTACACACACACACACACACACACACACACACACACACACACACACACACACACACACACACACACACACACACACACACATGCACTCCACACACACACGCATCCTTCCACAAGGCCTCCCCGGGAGCTCTCTTGAGCTTTGGGGAATTAAAAAGAGGAGGAACGGGGGGGGGAGACACATTTAGGGGGAAGTGGGATAACTTTCGAACCTTAAACTGTCAGAGATCCAACAGATCAACGAATACTTTCAGTGGCAACTCTTTTTAATCCTGATCTTTGTTTCAATGTACATGCAACAGACAATGCCCTACTTGTCAAATTGTCACACACACACAGACACAGACAGACACACACACACACACACACACACACACACATTGTTGCTTTCATGAATTCAGTTGAACTTTAACAGTGTTTAGCTGGAGCCGTTGTGATCTGATCAGACGTGCTGCTGTTTAACACAGAAAGCTGCACATATCGGGCTTCATTCATGTCTCCTTCCTCTCAGACTGGATAAAGTTCAGAAGCAGTTTCCATGAGCTGAAACTTAAAACTCACCTACAAAATGAAATTTCTGATTTCATCGAGTCTGAAAACAACTAAATTATTTTTTTTGCTGTTCAGTGTTGCTCCTTCTTTCTCGTTGACTTTTTCATGTGTTACTTTACTACAATGACACCTAACATAAAATCTAAAGAAGAATAAAAAATGGGCGGTGACATTAGGTGCACGGTGGCGGAACAAAAATACAATAAAGCAAAGAATACACCAGTCAAGAATTATTAAAATACAATTCAGTATAGATGAAACGATTATATAGAATTATATGCTATTTTTTTATTTGTTGTGTTGAATTGTGTTTCACTAACATTTATTTAACCAGGAAGTCCATGAGATTAAAAAGTCTTATTTTTAGATTTTCACAAATTTACTCAGATTGAATTTCTATTTTGTTTCCTATTTAATATAACTTCAATGGCTTAATGCTGCAGTGTTTAAATATAACCAGAAAAAATGTATATCTATACTCTTTACTTGGAGCACTTGACAAATATAATGCACACAATGTTGAAACATCATCATGTAAACATCTTGTCCTTCAAATTAGCAGGTTCTGTGAATAAAAAAACATTTTAGACCGAGGGGTGGATTGATTTTTTTTTTTTTTCACTAAATGGGTTAACATGGGTGCCCTGGATGAACCCTGAGTTCAAGTGAGCACTGCTGTCTGACTCCCATGACAAAGAGAGGGAGAGAAAGCTATAGTGAGAGGGATGCACAGGAGCTTAAAGACATGGCGAGCAGTGCGGCTGTGAAGAAATAAAATGAAATCGCTGAAGATAAGTCAGGACGAGCAGAGCTTCCTAAGAAAATATTTATCATTCCACAAACGTTTGGCTTCAGAAGGGCTTGGGAATTAATTTGTGTTTTCTTAAGAAGGGGTGCCTTGCGCTACAGGATGGGGAATTCTACATAGCCCGGGACTTTTTGGGGCTGCCGCTTATTCACAATTTATTAGAGGCGGTAATAAGAACCTTGAAGGCTGAGGAGAGAGAGAGAGAAAGAGACTTGAGAGGGCCCACGGTGGAGAGTCAGGGGAGTCCAGAAATGAGGCCTAATGTTATTAAGAGACGAACCACAGTGTTAAATCAAACACGCCCCAAAAACATGCCTGCAGTATGTGGTCTGAGACACCTTACCAACCTCTGCAAGACCCAGGGATGTTATTTGTGGGGATTGAAATACAGGTACATAAAGGAGATATACTGAGATTTACAATCCGTCACAGACCTCTGTCCGATACAGCGACTATATGAAATTTAACAAGACTCCTATTAAGGAACGCCAATAATGCTGCAGGTATATTAAAGGTTAGGAGATGCATGAACGCCAATTTTATTTTATAAATCTCAGAAAAGAGGGATGTCTTTATCGAGCCAATTCATGGCACACACCTTTCGCTTAAGTTAACTTTGTTTCAAAAACAATGATTTTTAATTTAAGAAACTTCACTGTTCATTTATTAAGATACAAAATAAAATGTTCAAATCTGAACGTCACAACAAACTTTTCTCCTCATCTGACAAATTTCATATTTTATAGGCGTTACGTTTTAAAATCAGGAAAGGTCACTAAAGGTCTTTACGAATCAAATTTCTTTACCCTCCATCAATTCCTTTAAGAACCAAAAGGGCCCCATTAATTATTGCACCTCCATGTGAGCAGTTGATAGAAATAGCTCAAAGGTGATTCAAAAGGTTGGCAAAAGAACACAGTGTGTGAGATTTCAGTCTGGAGCCATGAAGGGGTCCTTGAAAAATATGAATGCCAGCCTTTGAAAAATGCTTAGCGAGGCTCCCCTAATTTAGTTAATGAGGGTCCCTGCTTGGCTGCATGAGGGGTGTCAGTGATTTGGGTGTAATCTTCTGTACTTAAGGCAAGCCAAAAACGCTGCACCGAGTCAGGCAGCACCAAGAAAAACAAAAGGAGCTCAATCTGAAAGAAGGTGCCTCATACAGTTCCCCCAACATCTTTTTAAAGGGCTAAAGGGCCTACAAAAAAAATCATGTGTTTATCTAATAAAATGATTATATAGTTGGAAGAAAGAAGAACATTTTGCACGGGTAATTTCATGTTTAACAAGCGTTTGATGTTGATTCAGGCCTTAGAAATATATTTTTTTTCCTTTAAGGATAACTAAGAAATACATAGGCTACTTTTATAAATATATATCTGCTTGCGAGTAGGCCTAGTTAATTTTTCAAGTTACACACACATGAGATAATAAAATATTCATATTTTTATTCATATTTTAAATTAGCTTTAAAAGGGAGCAGGTTGATTTTAGTTGGAGCAAAAATGAAGAAATAAAAAATATAGGCCTACATATATAAATATTACAAAAAGATTCTTATTTATTTTAATATGCCTAGTATTGGCTACTTGTGATTTTTTCTCGCGGGACACTTAATACAAACTCTACAGGAGTGTAAAGAGGTTTCAGGGTGTCAAAAATTCTGACCTAAATTTATTTTTAATGCGATGTGTTTATACAAATGATCTTATAATGTATTAATTTAACACCAACAGATGATGTGCGATGACCATTATTTGCTGGTAGGTTAAACAGACAGCTAAACTATCGGTTAGCATATTAATTGTGTTTAGTACATTTCCTGACAATAATAATACCACGCGATATTACAATTCACGATCAAAGACAGTGCGTGAAAATAAGTCTTTCGTATTTCACACTTACCATTTTTCGGTAAAAAGAAATTGCAGGGAAAATCCAACCATCCGTCAGTGAAGTTGCGTCTCCATGCCGAGGAGACTCCGCAGACTTTCACGAGTTTAAGCGTGCGAGCGCGTGAGAGAAGAGTAGTAGAAGACGCGCGAGGCTCCAAGTGCAGACAGCTGACAGCTTTGTGTAGACACTCACTCCTCTTCCTCTGCAACTTCAACAGCGTGTTTGCTTTCCCGGCGGTGGGGATGTGATGTTAAGCAAACTAGAGAAGAATTCTGGTTCCTCCTCCTCCTCCTCCTCCTCCTGAGAAGTGCGCGCGCTGCTCACAGCCAGAACGTGTGTGAGTGTGAATGTGTGTGTGTGCGTGTGTGTGTGTGTGTGTGTGTGTGTGTGTGTGTGTATGACACACGCTCTCCTTATCTCCACCTCCACCTCTCTGCTTCTTTTTCTTCTTCGTCCTCTATCTTGGGCTTTAAATCTTTGTTTGTTAAAGGGCTCCTCTCCTCGTCTGTTTACACAACGACCCTCACTATTTAGCTGCACCCTCAGAAGCAGCGGACCCTCTGTATGCTCTACAGATAGCAGGATTTGTTAGTTTGTAGTAAACAACTGCAGGCTATTGACAGTTTTATCAGGTATCTTTAACAGTGTGGAAATTAGGGGGGGATTCTTTATTTCCATCCTCTCTTTCTGGCTTAATACAACTTGTTCATTTAGCAGGTGAAATGTTTGAATCAGTACAGTACACAGCACATAGCCTGTTTTTACTTTGCTGTATTCATGAGTTATGCAAACAAGGCTTTACAAGGGCCCTTCATGTTATAACTTACTCAAAAGTAAAATTTCAATCAAATTCATTTTTAAAGTTGTGCAGGTATTAAAATAAAGTAAAAAGATATAAAGAATTAAAAGCAGAGTTGGTAATCATTATGTAGCATGCCTATAATGATGACTTTTAAAGGGGCTATATGTAACTTTCAGAAATACTGCGTTAGTAGCGATACCGCATGGCCACCAGTAACCTGGTACATGCTCGTACGTACACAAACCAGCATCATCATCAGCCACGAAACACTGGATATTTTACTTTACCACTTTACCAATCTCCTTTGTATCAGAGCTTTATATAGCCCCCAAACCACTGTGGAAGATACAGCTCGAAAAACATTTTCTTTTAATCATTAGAGGCTGAGGACATGTTATCATTTTAGTGAGATCTGGATATTTTGTTGTCCTTTTCCATCATGACCTATAAATATAACATATATCTTTTGAAATGTCCAATATAAGTTATGAAGCAGCACTCCTAGTTTTACATTCAGTCATATATTCTAGTTTTAAACCCTCGAGGCCTCGAGGGTATCACCTGCTTCTGGTTGTGTATGTGGGACAAGTCAAAGATCTTTCAAGGTTACAAAAACAGGTCATGTGTCTGTGTCGTCTTTACAACACCTGCCGAGCTGAACAAAAACAATATCTGACAGAGTGCAACCATCGTAAGTTCCTCTGAAATGCAGGTGTCTCATCCTCTGCCTGTCTGTTTGTTTAATATAATCAGAATATGTGTGTTTGTGCGTGCTTTATGTGTGCCAAAGATGTGTGCCATTGTCTCCCTGTGTATTCAGTAACATGAGGAAGAGTGTGTCCGAGCAGGGAGCAGAGATGGAGGAGGAAACAGGTTCTCCTGAGCGGGGGGACAACAGGATGCCCTCGCTGACACTGTCATGACACCCACAGACATGGATACGGGAGGGCACCTGGGGGAGAGTCATGCTACTTAACCACATGGGCAAGTGTCTGCATCAGTGACCTTTTATAAGAAAAAGAAAGGGACGTCATTAAGAGTGAAATGACTTTCAAAAAAGTTGAATTACAACCCAAGTTCTCGGTAATAAAAACAAGTTAAGAACAGAAACAGGAGCATGATAGATCAAGTAACTAAATTCCTGGTGACAACCTTATTCATTCATATTTTAATCAGTCACCTTGTGTATATTGTTAAGGAGGATAAACCAAATAAAATATTGTTATTATTCTGTAAAGATGGTCTTTTCCCCTATACTCTTATAAATGCCCTTTGTTGAATTCAAGTTGATATTTAGTCCTGAAATGTTGTCATTTCTTGCTTTTTGTCATCAGCCTAACAAATAACAATGTTTTCCCGTCTCTTTATTATTTCTGACCTTCCTGATAGTTTGAAAATTCCCAGAACAATCTGCCTCAACCTGTTGCATTTGGCACACGCCTGCTGTAAGAGTGATGGTGACAGCAATAAGGAAGAGGGATCATTTCTGGTCGTGAAAATGATTTATGGCCCAAACTTATCACACAGCGTGCCTTGTATCAACAGCAATGCATTCTGGTCTGTAGAGGCTACTGCCGTGGGAGATACTTACTGTATATCTAACGTTTGGGATGACAATAATGAGTCTGCGAAGATTCTACATTCTGAATGAATACGAAACGTTAATGATGATCATCTTTTGCCACAGCTTCAGTGACAGTGTTCAGAGCTGGTTCAGCAAGCTGTTAATGCACAAGGTAAGGTTGCAGAGGTTGGAGAAGTGGTGAAATGTTGAGGCTGACTTTGTCATCTATTAGCAGGGTTACACCTCAAAAATACTTTTTCTTGACTCATGAAAACTCTGAATATTTTAGAGGGGAAAGTAAACAATGGAGTGGTATGCAAAACTACATTTTTACTTTTACTTTAAGGTCTATACAGAGATATGTACATGGTGCTGGAGATAAAACAAGGCAAGATAGTATGAGCCATATTTTCTGTATGAAATATTTTGTATAAATACTTTTCACTTTTTATTTGTTAATTTTAAGGCATTTTCTTCTCCTATTAAAGATGAGAGAAGAGGGTATGGCAACAAAAGACACTGGTTACAATTCACTTAGCAGACGATTTTATCCAAAGCGACGTACATCAGAGAGTAAGTACAACACTAATCCATTCATACACCGCCACCGAAGCAGCGGGAGCAATGTGGGGTTAAGTGTCTCGCCCAAGGACACATCGGACTTGTGGCTCAGCTGGGGATCGAACCCTCGACCTTCTGGTTGAGAGGCCACGTCCCTGGTTAAAACACAAATAACAACTCTAATCATTCAGCGATCAAGGTTCTCTAATATTTGTTTTGCCTTTGAACCCTAGAAAAAGTTGAATGTAGAATGAAATGGACAAAACTAAATGATCAAAGCAGTGTATATTTTATAATAACATTTCAATATGGATATTTAATAAAATATACAAAAATGTCTCGACAAACAAAGTTGCTTTATCCCAATGTCCAATTTCTTGTGTTTAGTTAATACTATACAGAAGAAAAAAAACATGTTGAGAGTAAAACATTGAAAAGCTGAGAGAAAAAGGAGAATTTACTACAATATACACTGCAAATATTTAACACACTGACAAGAAACGTAAAAAAAAAGACATGAACATGAAAAATGAATAGTGATAAAGTGCTGCACAAACAAACAAAGAAGCACCCAGAGATTTGAGGTGTACTGGACGTAGTGATCTTTTCATTTCCTATCTACACTGGAATATGCAGCTGTTAGCAATGGCAGCCATTGTAAAACATACAAATGTACTTTTTTAATATCGCTTGTAAAGAAGAATAGATGAGGTCAATGTGGGAATTCAAAATCTTTTTGGGTTGGTGGGGTAAAGCCTGGATGTTCATGTAAAATCCAATAAAATACTAATTAAAGCAATAAACAAAAAGCAACTTTACTAGTGGTTTTGATATAACAGGTTTGACCTTGTGAACTCAGTTGCATTGACGTGATGATTGATGAGAAACAGGAGTGTCACGATGACTCTTGCCAAACCGAACATGTTACACTTTGCCTGTGATTAACTTTGCCCAAAACAACTGATAATGATGACACAATTGAGGGGAAATTTGATCTTAATGTGTGTATTAATTGAAAAATAAAATACACAGACACAATGGAAAAACCCATCATGGTGACATCACAGTTCAGAGGAACACAATGACATTAGCTGTGACCCAGACATTGTGAACCAGTCCGCCTCAGGTTCAAACAGCAGGCGGGCAGGACAGCTCCTCTCAACACTGGAATGTGCAGTGGAGAAATAAAAGCTGCCATTGTCTCTCTCTTCCTCCGAAGTCCTCAGCTCACTCTCTGTCTGTTTGTCCTCTCTGCCAGCTGGCTGCTTCTGCTAACACACACTGTCACATGGTGTGTCATCAGGGCTGCTGCAGTCAGGGTGCAGGAAAATACTGCTTCAAACTTTGAATCTGCTGAGAAGGAAGGAAGATGTCAGCTGTAATTTTTTAGCTATGGCTTAAAGAGAAGAATGTCTGTGCTGAAGCTGAGAAAACTTTGAAAAGAGAGGGAGAGACAATATAAACACAAGGAGAAAATAAATGGAATATTATACTTTGCGGGGCTTGACGCCAAGTGAAAGAAAGCAAGGACCCAATAATAACCACATCTGGGTTTAGATACCCCCTCCCATTCATCCCCTGAAGGATAAACCTTAGCCCCCCTCTTGGCCTATACATCCCATCCACCCAATAGCGTCATCTGCACCTTCAAGACCATGAACCTTCACCTGTCAAGTTCTCTTGACATCCTCAACATCTGTCCACTTCATATCTTCTTTTATCTCCTAAACTCCTAGATACCACTCACATTTTTCATTCACAAAAATACTGTAACAGGAGAACTCACTAAATGAATGATAAATACAGTAAGCATCATCAGTAAAGAAATCACATCATTGCTATCATTCTGATTTCTTTTGTTCATGTTATTACTTTGGGAAATAGCTACATGTCCTCTACGTAGGAACATAGACTGTCTAAAACATTTCAGTATTCTCAGTGATCAGTGACATCACTGATTGGTTTCTGAAGAGACAAAGCCCATACATGACACATTGGCAGTCGCCGTCTCCACCTAACTGTCAGTCAATCTAAAAACAGGTAAAGTTTTATAGGTGGAGTTGTGGCAAGGTTTAAGTCATCTGGCTAACAGCTAGCTTCTGGCATTTTTACCCATGTATAATCATGTGTTTTATGAATTTGCACTGTCCCCTTCTTAAATAAACTGAATTGAATAGCTCACGTTTATGTGTCGGTAAGTTCTGCCACGGCCCTAATTATGCAAATGTAAGAATAACTCTTAGCTGATCATGGGTGCACCCCACTGCGCTGACGTTCCCGAAACGGATCCAGTGG